AAAATTTTGTCCCTTAGTTTTGGACGCTACTGTATATTTTATTACTAGTATGTCGGTAAATTTTATATTTCATATAATAATAATTAAATTTACTATATCATTATTATATGTACTAGTTATCGCTATATATCGTTATCTCTCTCTCTCTCTCTCTCTCTGATATATATATATATATATATATATATATATCGCGATATCTATCTATCTATTACTATATCAGTTAATTTTATGTTTCATATATATAATAATGTACAAATTTACCATATAATTTTTATGTGTACTAAATATTACCCGTAAAAAAGATCCACGATTATCTAGGAGTTGTGTACATGGGATATTTATCTTTAAGAAACTGAATAATATATATACATCTCTTTTGCATATTATTGTTATGCAATAATGATATCTATAATAATTATCAAACATCCGATCCTGGTGAGAGTTTGGACGCGAAACTCTTGAGTCGATTAACCAGATAAGTCCCTTCAAATTTTCTTAATTTATTGAATATTATAGCTCTAACTATCGATTGAGCTCTTTTTGACTGAAGTTCTCCTCCTCGTAATTTTTGCGTATTTTTTTCAGTTGTATTATTGTTATTGAGATTTATTGTAAATTAATACAATTATGGCACAAGGGGGAATGGGTTGAGGCTGGACTTAACTATTTATATCTAGCTAATCGGATTCACGACCCATTCACTAGTTACAATTTCCTCATTCACCATAAAAACTCATCCGTCGTCAATCAATCCTCCATGTACCATAATACCACATCTTATCGGGGGTGGGATTGGGGGTTCTAAAAAACATTGCAATGAGATAAATACTATTTACAATATATATATATATATATATATATATATATATATATGTATATATATGTATACAAATCGGATAAATGATCATGAAAAAGGAGGGGTGAACCCCAAAACAAACTAAGCATCAAAACAAAGCAAAATAAACATAACTGATGTTAGTAGGACCCGTACAACCCTTCAAAAAAGAGAGAAGCCGCTGTATTCTACCCTTGGACAAAATCAAGAGGCTCTCTTGTTAAGGGAGAGGGGAAAGAGAAAATATATAGACGGGAATGGGGAAATCAATAAAGCTGACCCAGTCGAGATGGAAGGGGGCCAAAACAAACTGGGGATCATAACCAATGATGTAGCCGGGAGCAGGCCAGGAACAAAACTTACTCACATTAACTAGGTACACAAAAGTTTGTCTGGCCTAACCAGGGGTGGGCTCCGCAGGAAACCACCCCGATGTGATATAGGCTGTATTATTATTATTATTGTTGTTGTTGTTAATTTTATTTATTAAAATTCCGTTGTTATGGTAACGAAGAGATAGATGCCTTCTTTTCTCATAACACTGACTGTTTTTATTATTCCCTCACATGTGAGGTCAGACTACTAATAATTGTCAAACAACGGGCGAGTTGTTACGGACGGAGAAACAGAAAAATACTGTTTATTATTATGTACCAGTTTACTCATGCCGTAAAAAAAATCACAGCATATTTTAAGTCCTTACTGTTACTAAGCATTCACATGTGAGCTTTTAAATGTACAAATATAAATTGCGAGTGCAAGGGAGATAAACATTAAAAAATAGTTACATTACAGACACAAAAACTATTTGGTGTATTATGGGGAAAGACGAAAGGTATAAAAATATTAGGTTGTTTGGAAAATAATGTCCGAATTAATGTATTTAAAAAAAAAGTGTTTAAGTGTTTAAATCGGTCAAAATCGGAACCCTGTCCTATATGGCAGCGAATGCTGGACAATCTCCTCAAAGATGATGAACAGAATCAAAACTACAGAAACGTGGTTGTACAAAAGATGCTGAGGATACCACAGACCCAACATACAAGCAACGACGAGGTTTTGAAATGGAAACAAAACGGAAACTTAACTAACACCAGGAAAGACGTGGATTTCTGGGCACAAAGAAACTGGTTGTAGGATGCTGAGGATACCACAGACCCAACATGTAAGCAACGACGAGGTTTTGGAGAAATGGAAACAAAACGGAAACTTATACTTAACACCAGGAAGAGACAGCTGCGATTTCAGGCAGAAACTGCAGAAAGATGCTGAGGATACTAGACCCAACATGTACAACGACGAGGTTTTGGAGAAATGGAAACAAACGGAAACTGGTTTCTAGGGCACATACAGAAAGATTGCTGCTGAGGATACCACAGACCCAACATGTAAGCAACGACGAGGTTTTGGAGAAATGGAAACAAAACGGAAACTTATACTTAACACCAGGAAGAGACAGCTGTGATTTCTAGGGCACATACAGAAACGTGGTTGTACAGAAAGATGCTGAGGATACCACAGACCCAACATGTAAGCAACGACGAGGTTTTGGAGAAATGGAAACAAAACGGAAACTTATACTTAACACCAGGAAGAGACAGCAGCGATTTCTAGGGCACATACAGAAACGTGGTTGTACAGAAAGATGCTGAGGATACCACAGACCCAACATGTAAGCAACGACGAGGTTTTGGAGAAAATGGAAACAAAACGGAAACTTATACTTAACACCAGGAAGAGACAGCTGCGATTTCTAGGGCACATACAGAAACGTGGTTGTACAGAAAGATGCTGAGGATACCACAGACCCAACATGTAAGCAACGACGAGGTTTTGGAGAAAATGGAAACAAAACGGAAACTTATACTTAACACCAGGAAGAGACAGCTGCGATTTCTAGGGCACATACAGAAACGTGGTTGTACAGAAAGATGCTGAGGATACCCAGACCCAACATGTAAGCAACGACGAGGTTTTGGAGAAAATGGAAACAAAACGGAAACTTATACTTAACACCAGGAAAAGACAGCTGCGATTTCTAGGGCACATACAGAAACGTGGTTGTACAGAAAGATGCTGAGGATACTACAGACCCAACATGTAAGCAACGACGAGGTTTTGTGGAAACAAAAAGAAACTTAGGATTAACACCAGGAAGAGACAACATTTCTAGGGCAATACAGAAACGAGGTTTTACAGAAAGATGCTGAAACAAAACGAGGTTTTGGAAAAATGGAAACAAAACGGAACTTATACTTAACACCAGGAAGAGACAGCTGCGATTTCTAGGGCACATACAGAAACGTGGTTGTACAGAAAGATGCTGAGGATACCACAGACCAAACATGTAAGCAACGACGAGGTTTTGGAGAAAATGGAAACAAAACGGAAACTTATACTTAACACCAGGAAGAGACAGCTGTGATTTCTAGGGCACATACAGAAACGTGGTTGTACAGAAAGATGCTGAGGATACCACAGACCCAACATGTAAGCAACGACGAGGTTTTGGAGAAAATGGAAACAAAACGGAAAACTTATACTTAACACCAGGAAGAGACAGCTGTGATTTCTAGGGCACATACAGAAACGTGGTTGTACAGAAAGATGCTGAGGATACACAGACCCAACATGTAAGCAACGACGAGGTTTTGGAGAAATGGAAACAAAACGGAAACTTATACTTAACACCAGGAAGAGACAGCTGCGATTTCTAGGGCACATACAGAAACGTGGTTGTACAGAAAGATGCTGAGGATACCACAGACCCAACATGTAAGCAACGACGAGGTTTTGGAGAAAAATGGAAACAAAACGAAACTTATACTTAACACCAGGAAGAGACAGCTGTGATTTCTAGGGCACATACAGAAACGTGGTTGTACAGAAAGATGCTGAGGATACCACAGACCCAACATGTAAGCAACGACGAGGTTTTGGAGAAACTTATACTTAACACCAGGAAGAGACAGCTGTGATTTCTAGGGCACATAATGAGGAAAGAAGGCTTGGAAAACTTGATACTCACAGGACAGACTGATGGAAAGAGAGACAGAGGAAAGCAGGGCGTAACATAGTTGATGAGCTTGAGGAAATGAATGGTAGAACAGAGTTTGGAAGAAATAACAAAAAGGCCAGACTTCTTAAGAATTACAAGCGACTGGAAGATGTGGAGGATCATGATCGCCTATGTCCTGAAGGGACACGGCACATAAAAGAAGTACATTTATACTTAAAAGCCATCGAGTTACAATGTTATTTATGCCTTTGCGATAAAACTCTAAAGGTTTGGATGCCAAGAAATCTTTAAATGTAGTTTCTGCATCTGAATGTATTTGGGTTTTAAAAATTGTCAAGATGCTTGAAAAAGCGGGAGTCAGTGGGTGAGAGATTACCGAAAGATAGCGTTTGTGGTAAAGTTTCGTATCTCAAGTCGGTGAGCTTCTACAGTGTCATTCTGGTAACATGTGGCCGAGCAATGTCATGAAGCAGAATTGGATCTCGTCATTTAACCAGTGACGGCTGCATTTTGCTTAACTAAATGTGAATTTCATCCAGTTGTTGGCAGTAAGCTTCGGCAGTGATATATAGATAACGCCAATGTTGGACTACCAGAGTCATCACAATCTTCTCTTGGTACAATTTCGATTTTGGAAAGTATTTGGGACCTTCATTACGATGAAGGCATTGCGCCGAATGTCTACGATTGTCATAAAGGATCCATTTCTCATCACAAGTCGCTATTCGATCAAGAATGGGATCAATTGAATTTCGCTGATGCAATATTGAAGACATTTCAAAACGTCAAACTTTTTGACTTCCACTGAGTTCATGTGGAACCCGTGTTCCTTCACCGTGCCATTTTTCTTGAGAATGGTTCAATATTGTTGAAATACTGATACCCAATATCTGAGACATTTCTCTGACACTTTAACGTAGATTTTGTTCGGCTGGTGTTTTCAGATGTTGATTGTCAATTGCAGATGGACGTCCTCTACGATTTTGATCTTCAAGTCTCATATCCCCACTGCGGAATTTCAGAAACCAGCGCCGTGCTGTCTGATCACAAGTGGATCCTTCAACGCATGCCATGTTAATGTTGACAATAGTTTAAGAAGCATTATGAACCAGCTTGAACACTCACAAAAAAAATAAATAAACGCATCTGGTTGCCATGCGATCGCCGAAGTTAAGCAACATCGTACCTGGTCAGTACCTAGATGGATGACCGCTTGGAAATACCAGATGCTGTAAGCTCGGGTGTGCGGGTGGTGTAATGGATAACGGCACGGAATTGTTAATCGGAGAGCTGAGTTCCAATTGTAGTTGGGTTCGTTATATTCACTTACGCGCGAATACCCTTTAAAAAGGTATGGATCCACCTCTTCTCCCCAGCTATAGGTTAATTAGTAAGACTTGTATCTCTAAACCATTATCATCTCCAAAAAATAAAAATAAAATTGCGTACAAAATATTTAGATCTTGGCATTAAATAACCCGTAGATGTTGATGTGACGCAAAATAAAAACAAGCAACCAACTAAAATCGGATATTATTTTCCGAACAACGTAATAAAATGCGATTGTGGGGGTGCGGTTACCGGTACGAAAACGGCAAGCAGAGTTCGAATTATGGCTGAAACTGCTTATGTTCAATTTTCTCTAATGCAGTTTAAGAATGGCACTAATCTACTTCTTTCTTTGCTCTGTGTCATCAGTAGATATTTTGACAATGTCTCGTCACTGGCATGCCACGATAATTGATATCGAAGAGTGTAGACGTGTGAGCGCTTGAGAGAAATCACTCTCCCTTACATGAATAAGCAGGAAAAACACAAACATCAGAAAGTTCTTAGGATCTCTTCTTGGCTGGTGAGAAAATTTTTCAGTACCCTCACGTATATATTAATTTTATTCTATCTATCTATCTATCTATCTATCTACATACATACATACATACATACATACATACAAGAATTAGACTGGAATGAATTTGACAGAATAGTGTAAAAAAAAAAGAATGGAATTAATTATCAGACTTATACTTTGAGAAACTTTTGCAACGGATGGCAAAAAAATTTTGCTGCAGCAATCAAAACTAAAGAAGAATATTTTGACAAGAGCAAATTTTAAAAATAAAACGTTTTTGACCTTTTTAGTCATAATAAATTTTCTAATAAAAAATCAGGTCTTACTTTATATATATATATATACCATTTATAATATTTTTCTCTTATTTAAAGTACAAAATAACTACTTTGGGGGCTAATTTTTTTAAAAATTACCATGGGTGGCCCAAAACTTTTAAACTATAAGGTGTGTATGTGAGCGTTTTACATCAGTTAATGTTAATTTGATGATTAGACTAAGCGGATCTAGCATCGCGTGTCTCACCTGTAAAGTTCTAAGTTTGTGAAACTAAAGAAAAAAAATTTCTTAGAAATAAAAAGAAGAAAGAAAAGCGAAGCTTGAGTTTTATTTATGTAACTCTTCCTTTAAGTTACTCTGCCCTCCTCCAACAACTGATAACAGTCATGTCAACAAAACAACAAGCCGAGTTCGATGTTGGTTCAGGCAACTGTTTACATGTGCGACCCAAAACCTTGGCATATATTTTAACCTCAAACAGCAGCAGCTTCTGTAGCTGATGTTGAGTTTAGAACAACAACAGCAAGAAAAATAAGCACTTTTCCTCCTCTGTACTGGTTGTTTGCATAGTTGGGTGTAGGTTAGCTGAATTTCGTTCCTTTACACCAGAGAAAGGAAAGTCGATTGTTTTCAGCTTTTGCTTCTCCTTCTGGAGACAGTTAAAAAGGCAACGGAAGGCGCCATATTTTAAAATATTGATAAATAGGTAGATCATGAGATTTATATAAGAATTAGAAGATAAATATGAACATAGGTGGATATATATATATATATATATATATATATATAGAGAGAGAGAGAGAGATAACTCGGGAAAATAAAAGTTTATTGTTTTCAGCTTTTGTCTCCTTGTGACAATAGACACAACGAAGCCGTCAAAGTTGAAAGTATTTGATAGAATTCGGGTTATAAACACTAGAAGATATAAAAATAGATAGGTGAATGAAGAGAGAGAGGGACGGACATACAAAAATAGCCAAGGAGAAATGCTGGTGACAGTGGCAACGACAGAAGGCATCAAGTTTAAAAATATGATAGGCAGATCTTGATATATATACATATATAAACACAAATAGATAAATATGTTGATTGATCGAGAAGAAAACGTAAACAGAGAGAGATCGATATGCAAAAATACCATGAGAAAAAAGATTGATATACATTGGATAAATAAAAGTTCATTGTTTGAAGTTTGTTTTGTTTTCACTAGGAAATATATATGGTAGCCGTTTCCTTGTAAGGAAACATTCGGCATTCATTGACCGAGTGACCAGTGCTGCGGTTAAAATTTATAAAATCTATTAAAACCTCTTTTTTTTTCTTTTTTTTTTTTTTTAGGAAAACAGATTTCCCAAGTTCACTGTTACTGCTCTTTGCAGTATTGACAGGGGCTTTCCTTCCTGACTTTTTGTTTGAAGTAGTATGAAACGCCAGCATGTTGATTATCTCATTATTTTCTCTTCGAGTTACATGTTCTGTCAATTTTAGTTGTTTCTGCTGTTGGAAGTCCTCAAGTGATGCGGTTTCTGTTTTGGGTAAAGTTCTTTGTGATTCTGTAGCGCCTGCCGACGATGTTCGAAAGTTGACTTTATCTCAGGCCAAAAGGTTTCATTCGCATCGTAATCATTTTTATCATTGGTCTAAAGAAAGCGTTTGTTGACAGTTGAGACATTTCTGAACGGGTTGAGTGCCATTCATGGCATTCATATATGAAACTCTAGATCTGACGAGGCTATTTAAGGACATGACTCTAGATAGAGTGACATACAAAAATAGCTCGGTTGAGAAAAATAGATATCAAAATACAAAAAAAGAAGTTACATGGGATATATTTATTTTTTGTTTATTCGCACCAGGAACAAATACAATCCAAAAGTCTACTGGTTTATTGGTGACAATTTGACTGAAAAAAATATATATATGACATCATAAACTTCTTTTTTTATTCTCATCCCAATTATACATTTGTAAAATTCAATAAAATATCAATGTTCTTTTATGTGCCATGTCCCTTTTGAAAGCAGATATTTTTAGGAGTAATTTTTTCAACAAAATCGATGAACACTTTATTAAAATATATCTATCTTAGTGTTGTAGCATACCTATGGACGACGATGATGAGTATGTTCCCATTCACATAAATACAGTAGTAAATACTGTATATTGGTATGCAGTTAGAGATTCGGCTCCTGCTGTGCTGATCAAACTCTCTGCCTCCGTGCAGAGAGTATCTCCAGACGAGGCTATGTCAAAGGGCATAGTCTCGTCTCGGGAAACAGTTACCCGACCCCGTTTTATACGGGGTATACGTTGAAATTTTGGCCGAGCCTACGGGCTCGGATACCCCACATTAAATTCGGCCTTGTGCTGCATCTGACCGCGTGGGGCGATTAGTAGATATCCTGCAGTTAGATTCATTGTGGAATTCACTTGACTCACTTTTGACTACTTCTACGCGACGCTGGCGAATCTTATATGTGTTGTTCTAGTTCTAAGTATTATCGTTCATTACCAACCGTCATTTGATTATTCTATTCAATAACCTCCCTAGGTTAAAACACTGAAAACGGATTGAAATACTTAATATTAACCTTTTAAAAATGCTCTAATACCCATTTTATATGGCTTCTAAATGCTCCTGTAACTGATAAATTTGTAAATATTTTCTGGGGCTTACAACGCCCGGAACACTTCGCTGTATGAGCACGTTATTCATAGCGTACATTTTGATAGCTGCATCTTCGAAGCCTTCGTGGTGGACAGGATAAGTTCTTTAGCTCAGACCGTAGTTGAAAGCCAATTAGAACCATCTAAATTCTCAATTTTGTCTGAACTCAAATTTTTACTTCTTGATCCAAACAAACCCTCTCCGATAACTTTCTACCTCGTGTAGTTTGCTGCCGTAGAACCATATTGATGTAAATAACAGCAGTTAATCAGACCTTGTTGCTAGATTGAAGGTGGAGGTCACTATATGGCTTATTTTCAAAGACTCTACCTTAGTCTGCGCCATTTGCATTTCAAGATCCTTGCTAGGGCAGTAAGACCCTTTTGATCTGTTGTTTCTGGTTGCAAAGTGGCCCCGATAATAGTTCAAGCTTTAGAGTCTCAAAAATGTAGTCTAGCCATTGGCTCCTCTCCAGATGTGGCAGATTGTACTAGTTTATATTGTACCATCACCACAAATATGGATTCATGCCTTTCTTGGGGCCATTAATGCGGCTCAGCCGGAATTTTCTGACGTTATGTTCTGTGTTGCTTAACCGCTAAAAATAGCATGAAATAAGCGTATGAATTGCAGGCGCCCCTTCTTTTCAATGAAGTGTATGCGTTTTCCAAGTGATTTGTTTAATGGCTAAGATAGTTGCATATCTTGTGTTTTAATAGCACATTTTCTCTAAGTTTCTCTACGTTTTCTCGGGTGAACAGGTCGATAGGTGTAATACACATAGTTTAAAAACAGAGTGTTTACTCAAACACAGGTATCTGCTAAAAAAAGATTTGAACTAGGAAAAAATGTCGGATTAAATATAAAAATCTATTAAGTCTTTAGAAATTGATTTGTTTACGTTTCGGATACTAATTCGAGCAGATATTGGCTTTGGAGGAGATTTGAAGGAAGGGATATGCGTTCCTTAAAAAGGTAAATAGACTCTTGCTGGGCGGTCTAAAGCATCCCTGATTAGACGATGGTTTCTCCTACAAAGGGGCACGCAGGTTTGAGTAGTGCCGGGGAGTATTTTTCTTTAAGTTTCCTCATGTGAATACGCCATTAGACGTAATATAGTCAGTTAGTTATGTGCCGTACATGATACACGCTTAGGCGATCATGTTTCTTTCGATACATGACTGACGAGAGATTTTTTTCTCGCAGTAGGTAGCCTTTTCTTTCTGCAGTAGACCAGTTGCCACCCAAGGCTATATAAACAGGTCTGTCCTGCTATTTACCCATAGCTGAGGGGAGAAGAAGAGGATTCATATCTTTCCCAAAGTAAGTGAATCTAATGGATTCGATTGGAATTCGAACTCAGCTCTATTGATTCCTCAGTCCGAGCCGCTATCCATTACACCACAGTGCCTCAGTGTTTAAAAAACGGGGCGTCTACTCAAATATGGATATCCACTAAAAATAATATTTGAAGTAGTACAAAAATATAAATATGTAGTGGACTCTTCAGATGATTTCGACGTATGAAAGTCCATGAGTTCAGTTTAGAGCATAACCGCTAGGCTACCTGCACAGATGATTTGATTAAAGTGGTGAAGACTTGTGCAGATCCAGCCACATTTTTCGAAAGAACCGATAACAAAGAATTGATGTACAGTGTGCCATGAAGTCTCCAAGTAACTCTCCCAAAGTTTGAATTCACAGTTTTAGTTCTCCTAGTCTTCCTACCAACCAAGACAACAGATCCCAGTTTGCCCTGCTATTTTCCCCATAGCTGGAGGAAGATGGATTCATATCTTTTTCAATGGCATGGTGACAAAATGAAAGGAATTTGAATTTAGCTCGTCGATTTCACTTGCCCCTTTTGGAAAATGCCTGAAAACCATACCCATGGGTTGACCCAAGCCTTGTGAGTGAAATTTGGGTAGACGGAACACTTGGAGAACCGTCGATAGCTGTGCTAGCACGAAATCACAAGTCATCATGACCGAGTATTTGAGTATGCTTATGTTGTTCAGATTGTTGATCATTCTAGATAACGCGCTCTCCCACAGAAACTGTAACTAAGGTCTGCTCAGCATAGTTGCAGTATAAACTACAGGTTGGCTCTGTGGATGTTGAACAAACACAAATGTGCCTGAGTGAAAGTCTGCAATAGGGATTGACTAGCCGCCCTCGTAGACGGGTATCCTTGAATACGAATGACCAGTTGTTATATATATATATATATATATATATATATATAATTCAGATAGCGTATATCTGTAAAATGGACAATATGAAAAGACAAAAAGAAACACACGCATATATATATATATATATATATATATATATATATATATATATATATATATATATATATTTATTGGTTCATGAAATATCAGTTTCAGTTGAGCTCTCTGGTTGGTGTGGGTTGGTAAACAGTGACTATTATAGCTATATAGCGAGACTCTTCGCAGATGCGAATTGAGTCACTGTCGGTCCCTGGGCGTGTTTCTAAAAATAAATACGCTAAAAATCCACTTTCATCCCTATCGTGCGCCGACGGCAAAATGGTTAGAATCTCCGACTCAATCACCAATTCAGTCGGGTTTCGATCCTAGCTAGATGCAACCGGATATCTAGCCACACTGATGAGCTGCGAAACAGTCTGTCTGTGGATGACATATATATATGTGTGTGTGTGTGTGTGCGACTTGGGATCAGATATAGACCAAATATGGATTGGAATCCGACGGAATGATAGGATAATAAACAAATAGGAAATGTTTATAAATCTAACGTTTCGCTTTTATTAAAGATTTATCAGAGAATGAAATATGAAATAAAGCTTCATCAGAGAATTAAATATTGTCTCATTGTTTTTATTTTTCATATTTCATTCTGTGATGGAGCTTTAATAAAAGCAAAACATGTTAGACTTACAAACGTTTCCTATGTGTTCCTTATCCTACCCTATCATATATATATATATATATATATATATATATATATATATATATATACCACTACACTATTTGAGGGATTGTCTTTGATTTTATTTTTTACAGTGACTTTCATCTACCACTGAAAGATATATTTAAATATTTGGTAGATTTATTGACTGTGATACTAACACAGACAAGATAGAAAAGAAATAGGTTTGGAATTTGTAAAATTAAAAAAATAAGTCACTTTCATGGTTCCACGTATTTTCGAACTAATGTAGATTTTTATCGAGACCAAAGTATGCATAACTGTATTTATGTCAAAACAAGCAGATAGAAAAACAGGTTGACTAATGCATGTATTTATTTTTATACAATAGAGTGCTGACACATTATCGGTCAGACCCACTTCCCAAGGTCAATATTTTGAAGAACAAACATCATTGCACCAATTTTTGGAGATGGGCCGAGTACTTTTCAACACTCATATATAAAGCCATGCGTGCCTAAACACAAGTTCTCAATTTCTATTTATATATACTTACCAACTTGCACACAGGTGAATATATCTCTCTATTTGGGTTATATATATATATATATATATATATATATATATATAATATGTTTGTGTGTGTTGATATAATAGTAAAGAACTGCTAGATTGATGATCCGAAATTCTTTAGTATTTTTCCTTTTTATTTTTAAAAAAACAGAAGTAAAGTTTAAAATCTTAATAATTAAAAAAAAATATGATTCCATCGCGACACAGAAATTACTATATTTTGAAACTAGTCCCCCGTATTCAAATTTAATTTCAGTATTAACCTTAACTGTTTGGAATAACTCACCAAAAAAATGTTTTACTCATTTACTCAAATGAGTAAAACATTTCTTTGGTGAGTTATTCCAAATATCGCTTGAGGATGAAACTGTCATCCAACAGTTAAGGTTTAATATTGAAATTAAATTTGAATACGGGTGACCATTTTCGAAACAGTAATCTGTGTCTCGATAGAATCATATTTTTTAAAAAATAATTATATATATATAAGAAATATACTCTTAAGGTGTGCTATATTTATGGGATAAAGTGCTCAATATCAGAGATAGAGCGTGCGTAAACATAAAAGTGAACATTGAAGTCAACATTTAGAGGTGGCAGGCTGTTTCATGCTAGACGCAATTGTCAGGCCACTGATCAGGCCTGACGATTGTATTTAGCATCAAACAGCCTGTCGCCTCCAAGTGTTCACTTCAATGTTCACTTATATATATATATATATATGAGAGAGAGGGATTAGTGCAGACAGGAATCAACACTTCATGTTGGCTGTCAGTCTCACATTTCAATTCTGATGGGTTTTGTGCTTATCTTCATCGGTATCCTTACTTCTGGGTGTATTATTGGCCAAGTGTTTCTATCCCTTGGTATTTTTAAATTGTTTATCTCTTGTTTCTTCGCAGTCTTTTAATGAATTTCGCTACATTTGTTAGTTGAGCTTTTTTTATTTATTTCCTTTATAGTCATGTTGATTTCCTTTTATTATTATTATTATTATTTATTAAACAAAATGATTGGCGTAACTCTTCCAATACAGAAAAGAGCTCGATTTAAGAAAATACAATGTTCAAAAATATTTCGACATACATCTATGTCTGTTATTAAATATAAGTTTGAAAAAAGCAGAAAATGTATTGTAATTTTGAAGTAATTAGTAGGAATTATCAGTAAATTATTATCTCCAAAACATTCTTACTATCTAAAAAATATTTTTTGGCTTTAAATAACATGCAATCTGTTGATAAACCGTAAAGCACAAATCAATCAAATATATTATACAGAATAACTATAGTTTTTCAAGCAGAAAACAATAAGAAATAAATGTAACAGATAAATAGAATAAATGAACATTTAACTTTATTTTTATTGAAGACTCTTGTTGACGTATGTAAGATGGTGACTGGGATGGATGGAGGTGGCGTTATTGTTTGGAAAAACACCCCAACTTCATAAAGAATTCAGGTGTTTTTTTTAAGTTATTTCCCTTTGTTACTTTGTGCCATTAGAACCTACTCGAGACTGACTGGATCTCTCTCTCTCTCTCTCACACACACTATCTATCTATCTATCTATCTATCTATCTATCTATTCAGAGGGGTTTGTTTTTGTCTCCGCTTTAAGATTTGCCTGGCATCTAACAAAGCAATGTCATTAAAAGTGCTTACGATACGGCTTGCAACAGGTTTGTTTGGGTGATATTTTTCAACAAAATTTTGCACCTCACTCCATTTTGAATCGCTGAAGAATGTACATTATCTCCTCTCTCGTCCTCTGAAGCTATTTCCTCAGCTATCGTTCTCTACTGCCTCAGCAGAATGTCATAGATTTTTTTCAGGGATCAGCTCGATAACCGAGGAGATGTATAATTCCCGAGAGATATTTATAACAAAAGTACGCAGCTGTAGGCTTTAAGAAAGCTTTATTCAACTGAGAATACACGGTTTGCGAATAGTGTCCTCTTATAGTCCCAGTAAACAGAAAATAGCTCTCTCAAAGAGGAGAGTAAGAAAACAAGGGGAGATTACTCTTGATTATTCATAACAATATTGTCTCGGAAAAACTGAACGATAACCGAATCAAACGATAACGGAGTCACTTGATAACCGAGGTTCCTCTCGAAAGCTGTTCATTGCTTACGTGAAATGTTGAAATGGTAAGGCTGTACTGTACAAATGATAGTGTTATTTTTTTATTCATATATTTATGATTATTATTTATTCATGCATTTGCATGTTCACACCAGTTATATGGTGTTTATCGTTGGAGATAAACATAATGGTCTTATCTCGCCTCTCTCGTTTTCCTTGAATCTTCATTTGACCCAATCTCGTTTTTCATATTTTCTTTGAATCTTCATTTGACCTAATCTCGCCTTTCGTGTTTTCCTTGAATTTTCATTCGACCTAATCTCGCCTCTCGTGTTTTCCTTGAATTTTCATTCGACCTAATCTCGCCTCTCGTGTTTTCCTTGAATTTTCATTCGACCTAATCTCACCTCTCGTGTTTTCCTTGAATTTTCATTCGACCTAATCTCGCCTCTCGTGTTTTCCTTGAATTTTCATTCGACCTAATCTCGCCTCACGTGTTTTCCTTGAATTTTTCATTTGACCTAATCGCCTCTCGTGTTTTCCTTGAATTTTCATTTGACCCTATCTCGCCTCTCGTGTTTTCCTTGAATTTTCATTCGACCTAATCTCGCCTCTCGTGTTTTCCTTGAATTTTCATTCGACCTAATCTCGCCTCTCGTGTTTTCCTTGAATTTTCATTCGACCTAATCTCGCCTCTCGTGTTTTCCTTGAATTTTCATTCGACCTAATCTCGCCTCTCGTGTTTTCCTTGAATTTTCATTCGACCTAATCTCGCCTCTCGTGTTTTTCCTTGAATTTTCATTCGACCTAATCGCCTCTCGTGTTTTCCTTGAATTTTCATTCGACCTAATCTCGCCTCTCGTGTTTTCCTTGAATTTTCATTCGACCTAATCTCGCCTCTCGTGTTTTCCTTGAATTTTCATTCGACCTAATCTCGCCTCTCGTGTTTTCCTTGAATTTTCATTCGACCTAATCTCGCCTCTCGTGTTTTCCTTGAATTTTCATTTGACCTCTCTCTCTCTCTCAAAAAAAAAAAAAAGTGATCAAAATTAGATAGACATTTTTATTCTATCGGGAACCTTTATTCCAGGATAGTTCCTGAAAGAGTGTGTAATTTTAAGGGATTTTTTTTATAGAAAATACGAAAAGGAGGAAATAGATGTGATTGGACTTACTTTGTTATTGAGTGAATGTGTTGTGTCTAGGCCATGTGGGAACGATGAGATTTTCGTCCACGTTGGTCTCTGACAATCCTTGTTGCTGACACCCGCTCAGACATATTTGTTTGGTCAACACTCACAAAGCCCACCTGCGGTTGATACTGCAACTATGTTGAGCGGACTTTAGTTACAGTTTCTGGGTGATAGAGTATCATCTGGTATGATCAGCTGTTTGAACCATGCCTACAAAAATGTAATTTGATATTTCTTTTTTAGTCTTGAATTGATTGTCATTTTGATATAAAAATGTATTGTTGCTCATTTTCTTAAAAAAATGTACTGATTTTTGTTTGGGAGTTGACTATTTTTCCCATAGCTGGGATATTGACAGGTGCTACCATCCCGGGTCAGGGTGGACCCGGGAACAACAATAATTAAGATTAAGGTTCCTCAAAACCTCCAATCTCCCGATCAGAGGCTTTGCTGCCGGATGTAGTTTATCATTATAACTGGGACGAATATTAACACAGTGTTAACGTCTAACAAAATATATAGTCCAGTAAATTACTGAATTTTAATGCATTTAAATAGAACAACAATAGTTAATAAATTTCAAGACTTGTTCTGACTTTCTCATTAATTACATACGAGGCTAGATATACAGCATATACACAAGCACACGCACACATCTAATATATATATATATATATATATATATATATATATATATATACAAGGTGTTACCCACAATCTCCTGAGATATAAATGAATAATCTGTTCCGTTGTCAGGTTATCCGGCGTGTTTTCATTTCTAACCAAATAGTTCACACATCTACCGAAATAACTCTACCTAGACATAATAAATTAATTTCTGTGGGTTGTTTTCTTTCTCCGACTTTCTATGGGGCAGTACATCAGTTTATATATAAGCGGCGACAGACTTCAAGCCATGTGTGTTGGCTCGACTATTTATATATGCTGGTCGATGGTGCATTATGGGTAGCAAGGTCAACTGTATTTTCCTAACGGTTATTGGTAGGCGGTAACGATTATATTTCAACTTATTCTAGTCGCTATTGAGTAGAAATAATTGTGGATCCGAAGACGGTTATTTGTAGCTATTTTATAGTGTTGTTTATTAAATTTTTTATTATTTTTTTTTTTTTTCGGTAGTTGTTTATCTTATTTAGTTTCAAAGTATTAGATTTGTCTAAAGTATTTATATAGCGCTATGTATATCTGCAATCTTAAGTACACTCCTTCAGACATTATGACCAATACGTATGGGTCACCCATCGCAGAGCACCTAATAAATAGCCATAGTTGTGCTACTAGTTTCAGTGTGGATTCATTTATCGTTCTTAGCAGGTCCCACCCGAATTACCACTTTGAACTTTGTGTTGGAGGCCATTTATAGTTTATCATTGAAGCCATCTCTGCGTAAATAGAAGGACTTCGTACTGAGCCACCAACTAATTTCCATCTAAGCAATTTTTTCTTCTCCCTAATACATATTGTCCATCTCTTTCTAGTGATAATTCTGTTTAATTTATTAACCTCGATTTAGCTCTGTTGAGCGAGGTGCGAAACCGGTTAGTTAGCCTGTTTTTCAGTTTTACTTTTTATCTATTATTATCATGAGTGGTAATAAAAATAAATTTTGTCTTTTCATGGTGGTCATAAAATTTTGTACCACAAGCCATATCTTTAAGTATACTGTAACATATTTATGCTGATGCTAACCTCCAGGAAAACAACTCATTGCACCTACTTGGTCTCTGCTGACATGGCGTGGAGTGATTATATTGAATCAATTGCTAGGGCAGCTGTTAAGAAGGGTGGACCACTGTGTCACGCCAGAGAATTTTTCTCGTCAGAATTCATCTTGCCCTTTTATAAATCTACTATTCGTGCGTCCATTGAATATTACTGCCATATCTGGTCTGGTGTTCGGGCTGTATATATCTAGATTCTCAACAAAGTCCAAAGAAGGGTCTGTAATATTATCGACCCTGACCTAGTATCTCGGCTTTGGTCACTGTATCGACGTCGTGAGGTAGCTTTCCTCTGTCTTGACGGCGTGAATTTAAACGTGCTAGTCGGTTGGTTACTAGGTCTCATCATTTTACTGTTGAATTAACTAGACGTAACCGTAAGTTCTATTCTAATAAATTCTTTTCGTGCACTTCCCATCTGTGAAATTCTCTTCCGATTTCTCGCTTCTCTGTCGCCTATATTTTTCAAAAATTTACTTGCAAGGTCAATTGCCATTTGCTGTCTTCCTGATTCCTGTTCTTTTATTGACCATTCTCCTCACTAAAGTCTAAATATATAATATTAGTGGGGAACATATATATATATATATAATATTAGTGGGGAACATATATATATATATAATATTATATATATATATATACACACATATATAATAATAGAACATATATATATATATATATATATATATATATATATATATATATATAAATATATATATATATATATATATATAATATTAGTATATATATATATATATATATATATATATATATATATATATATATATATATATATATATATATATATATATATATATATAATATTATATAATATATATATATATATATATATATATATATATAATTTTGTAGAATTATATATACATATATATATATATTTATATACATATATATATATATATATATATATATATATATATATATATTTTTGGGAATATATATATATATATATATATATATATATATATTTGTGGGAATATATATATATATATATATATATATATATTTGTGGGGAATATATATATATATATATATATATATATATATTTTGGGGAATATATATATATATTTATTATTATATATTTGTTATATATATATATATATATATATATATATTTTGGGGATATATATATATTTATATATATATATATATATTTGTGGGTAATATATATATATATACATTATATATATATATATATATATTTGTGTAATATATATATTTATATATATATATATTTGTGGACAGAACATATATTTTTATATATATATATATTTTTTATAGATACAAGTGCAAATGGTTTATATATATATATAATAACATTTATATATATATTATTTGTTGGGAACAAATCAATATATATATTAATATTAGTGGGTAATATATATATATTTTATATATATATTGTTGGGATTATTATATATATATAATATTATTTTGTATATATATAATATTAGGGTAATATATATTTATATTATATATATATATATATATTAAGAAATGGACAAGTCCTATATATATATTCATAACAGATAAATGATTGGAAAACGTCATA